TTTTAAAGAAAGGCATGGAAGATCCATGATTTTTGATGTTAAAAAAAGTTGTTCAGAGAGTTTTGAACAGTTTCTTTTTTTTTCTTTTGATAAAAATCCCTATAGCAAGCAAGACAACCAGAATCAACTCCTTTGGCCATTCCTTCCAAAATGAGGCATTCTCGTGCCCACAGGTGTGAAGACATCTTGAGAGCTTTGTTACTAGTCTGAGGAGCAGGAGTCTCTTGAGATAAGAAACTTTTTATTTGATTTTTACAATTCTATTTGTTTTCAGTATTTTCTCTCTCTTTCTCATTTTTTTTGGGGGGGGTAGGTGGGTGGATTTTTCTCCATCTGTCTCTTTCTACCATTATTCCCAGCCAACTCAACACAGGAAGCTTTGAAAGCAATAGAAGAGATCACATGGTGGGTAGCCTTAAGTGATGGAGTAGGAGGAGATGGGGGCTGAAGGTGTGAGGGAAAGTGTGGACTGAAAGCATCTGATGAGTCTCCCGGATGAGGGGTCAGGTGGGCACTTGGCATGGGGATGCTGCTGAATAAATAGCAGGAGTTCAGATAGGGGCTCTGCTGGTGAATCACAGCTGTACATGGCAGCAGGGCAATATAGAATTAGTAGGAAGGCTCCCCAAGAATGAGGAGTTGGATAGAAAGGGGGCAGCATTAAATCCAGGGAAATCTGGAGGGCTCTTTGAACTGCAAGGAAGATGTGACCCCACTTTTAAGAAATCACAACTAGGATGATATGAATTTTTTGATGGTTGTCCTGTCTTTTCATGTTGGGGTGGCTTTATGATAGTGGGCAAGAGTAAGAATGTTGGTGCCTGGAACGAGGGTTGGGGCTGAGAACGGCAAGAACTTTTCATAGGAAGACCCCCTTTTTTTGGCTCTCTCATTGTGAATAAAGATATGTAGGTGAGAACACACATGCACACATGTCAGAGTAATTTCAGCAGCTAGACAGCATTTTAGCAAACAAGGCATGTGCCCCAGGGCATTGTCAGCAGCCATAACAGGAGCCGAGTTCATTCAGCTATTGATTGATTCCATGGAGACCTAAGCTAGGACGTGTGACTTCCCATTGCCTGGGCCAGAGCTGCTGGGATCTCATTAGAAAATTAGAACTACATGTGACATTTTGGTCACAGCAATGGGAAAGGAAGTGACATGTGTTGAGTACCTGCCAGGCATGATGTTGGAAGCTTCCTTTGTTGATAGCTGGATTGCGTCCTTAGTTCAGCCAGCATGTGACAAGCCCCTGCTGTGCGCTGGGCAGTGTCCCTGTCCTCATTCCTCCTCTGTTTCTGGGGTGTGCATTGTTTCAGAGCGGTGAGCACATCCTGCTTTCCTGATGAGTCCGGGAGTCTCTGCATTCCAAAATAGACTTTTCTACCCGGGATGGCTTTGGGCACTTGATGCGGTGGTGGGTGGACCTGGATGCCCACCAGCCTGGCTTCTCAGTTAAAACCAGTTTGCCCAAGGGCACCTCGAAGTCGATAGCCACAGGGCTGGTAGTAAGAAAAAGGATAGATTGAAAATAGAACTAAAAATGACATATTAGGTGAGAAGGAAAAGGAGGTCCAGGGCTGCGATAGAGAACTGGGTCACGGACTGGGACTGTAGATGAGTGAGCAGTTTTCACAAATCACTTACAAAGAAATGCCCTGGAGGAGATATTGAGCAAGTGACTCCTGTTGGGAGCCTGGAAGTCTCCTGTCCCACCTTCCCTTAGAGCCGCTGGAGCGGTTCTGATGGAATGCACAGGGCTTAGCAAGCAGTGCGGTAACTGGGTGCAGACGCCTTGTAAGGTTTCTGCTGCTGGCCGGCCTGTTGACAGCTTGTTTCTAGCCTGCTGCTCCTCTCTGCTCCCTGAACTTCTTTCTTGGTGTTCTTGGACGCTATGGGTATTGGCCCCTTGAGCAGCCTGAACTCAGCAATGGGAGCTGAAAGAGGAGGGTTTGTTGTTTGTTTGTTTGTTTTTTTGAAATCTAAACACTTGGTTTCCATTCTGGGGCTGTGTGAACAGATGGCTTGAGGGCTCAGCAGCTTTGTTCCACTGATGCTTTGGGTCTTTGGAGAGACTCACCTTGCTAGTCTATGGAGGGGGAAGTCTCAGTGGAGGATGGGCAGGACAGAAACCCTCGACAAGGTCCAGGTGGGATCTTTAGGGAACAGGTACATGACAGACTGTGAAGACTTAAGCATTGCTAACATTACATTTCCACGTTAGGGAAAAGCTACAACTTCAAACCTAAAGCTTTAAAGAAAATTTTTGGATTGTAGGCTTATTCTCTGAGTGGCTGCTCTGTGCTGAGGGGATGGAGGTTTGCAGTAAAGATAAATATAGTCCTGGCTCTGCCCTGCAGAAACCGAGGGATATGGCACATTGTAACACAAAGAGTACTGTGACGGCTGTAAGGGAGTAGTTGGGAAGGTAAAACCAATTTCTACCGGGAGAATCTGGTGTTAACATGCACATTTATTTCCCACTGGCTAAACAGTTCGCCTCCTCTCTGCTTAACATTGGAAACTTGCTTTTCTATTCCACCAGCCAAGGAATGTTCTTTGGAAAACCTATAAGGAAAAGCATTCAGGGGCCTGGGCTTGCCGGCAGCTTGTTGAAAGAAGCATTTTGTCCTGCAGGATCCCTGTTCTGCTCTCAGAGCCGGCAAAGCTAAAACCCATTACACCAACAGGTCAATATATTCGCGAGACAGTAGGAATCCAGGATGAACGTTACCATTTTATAGATGAAGAAATTGAGGACTGCTGCAAAGAAATCAAAGCCAGCTGCAAAATCACAGCTGGAATCAAGCATCTTAACTCCCATTTAGCTCCCTCAAAGCGTACAGAACATGTTATCTAGACAAGTACATTGAGATGATGTATTGGTAAAGTAAAAATGTGGAAATAAAATATGTTATGTAATATATTGTTTTACCCTCCTTATTTCAACAAAAGAGGAGGACTCTTCCTTTTCAACCTGACTTTCAAAAACTGCGAATGGGTCTAGAAAGGGAAGGTGCCCAGCAGAAAGCCTGGAAAGCGAGAATCCGTGTGAAAATAGAATTACAGAGCAATAAAACATGCAGATTGTGTGCCCGGCAGAAGCCTGGTGCATCGTAGATGCTCGATTCATATTTGTTCCTTTCTGTCTCAGAAAGAGTAAGACCCCCTGAAGCTGGCATGACCTCGGCACAGTCATGGTGGAGTAATGGATGATTAGGGTGTGGTTCAGATATCCACAGATAACAAGGCTTGAGGCTCTCTCCAAAGCTTTTAGCTTTATAATTTATTTGCATAATTATAATTATATAAGCTTGACTGGGAAAAAGAAAGTAAAGAGACACATGGATTTGTTTCCTTCAGTATTCCCTTATTGCAAATCAAATCTCTTGAATCCCTGTTCTTCACTGTTATCCCACCTTGGCCACATAGTTACTACATAGGTTTGGAGACCTGGGGATGGTGGTGTGAGAAGGCAAATGACACTTGAATTTGTTATTAACTAGGACTGCACTTAGCACGTATGTTTATTATCTTTTTTTTTACAACAGCCATATTCTTCTTCTTATTCACTTTTCATAGATGAGGAAACTGAAGCTAAAAGAGAATTATGAATTTATCCAAGGTCATTTAACTAAAATGTGATGAAGCTAGGACTTAAACTCAAAGATTATGTTTTTTCACATGGTTGTATGCTAACTCTGTCCTAGGATCTGAAAAATCCTGGTTCTGTAACTTAGCCAGCTGTGTGGAGTGCATGGTCATGACATGTGGAAGGAAAAGGAGAAACCTTTGCTTCACCTCAAACAATATTGATAGCTAATGTTTGTATTATGCCTCACAGTTATCAAAACAGTTTAGATGAATTTTCCAATTTATAGCTAAAAGTACAGGACTCAGAGTTTAATTCAATGTCACAGAGATATTAAAAGGCAAAACTGGGACTCAAACTCAGAACTTCTGACTTTAAATTTAATTCTGGTGCCTCTCCTATATACTTGGCCACATGGACAAAGAAAGGACTGTGCTTAAGTTTAGGTGCCAGTGCTCTGGGCATTTGGTTACTTAATGGGTCTTCTGATATTCACTCATCCCTGGGTATCAATGAGGAGCCCGACTTCCTAATTACTTAGCAGAATCACTGGGCAATACATGATTACTGACTGACTAAGTCAATGTACACTTGGATCTTGTAGTTATGGAAAGCCTTTTATTGCAACTTTTGTTGGGTGCCCAGAGTGAGACAAGCCTAGGAATACAGGCACTTTCCTTAAGCCCCTCATCTTCTGAGTTTTCATGTGGAAAAATGACAGAGTTGGTGATTATAAAAATTTCTGGTTACAGAAAAGAAAATTCTCTTCTCCTCCATGCCTGGCTATTGTGCATTCCCAGTATGGCATGGGAAGGAAAGGGTCAAGATATTTTGAAGAATGACAACTCTTGTGCAGTATCCTAGGCCAACTTCTTTCTGTAAGAGGATGTCTATTTCCCCATAGCATATGCAAAAGCGCTTGTTAAAACTCTTCCTGGGGAAAAGGAAAAGCAAAGAGAACTCTAAGGCTGGTATTGAGGGGCACCTACGGTCTCTCTAAATCTGTCATCTCTTTAATCAGCTGAACTGGGGTGACGAGCCTGCACAGGCCCAAGTGGTAGCTGGCCTCCCTTGGGTTGGTCCAGGGCAGGGAGCAGCATTCTGCAGAAGGTCCCTTTTCAGATTGAGAAACCCACATTCTGATCTCCTCTTTTGATGATTTTACAAAAATCAAATCGCATGACAGATGCCTAGATAAACAGGAGAAGTTTGCAATCGTAGCAAGTCCTGGGATGGTTATAGATTTTTAATGGCTATTAGCTTGATAATCACACACCAGGAATAGCTTCCAGGCAGGCCAAACCCATGCATAAGTGGGCCCACACCCATGCACACCAACACCTAGCTGAGACAGTATAAAAGGGGACCCTGACAGTCTTCCAACAGCAGAGTTGAATCTCCAGCCTTAACTCTTCTCAGGAACCTTCGACTTTCCTTGCTGGGCAAAGGCATCATGAGTTGTCAGATCACGTGCAAATCTCGAGGAAGAGGAGGAGGTGGTGGATTCCGGGGCTTCAGCAGCGGTTCTGCTGTGGTCTCTGGCGGGAGCCGGAGATCAGGCGCCAGCTTCTCCTGCGTTAGCCGCCATGGCGGTGGCGGAGGGGGCTTTGGTGGAGGCGGCTTTGGCAGTCGGAGTCTTGTTGGCCTTGGAGGGACCAAGAGCATCTCCATTAGTGTGGCTGGAGGAGGTGGAAGCTTTGGCTCCGGTGGTGGATTTGGTGGCAGAGGAGGTGGCTTCGGAGGTGGCTTCGGAGGTGGCAGTGGCTTCGGAGGTGGTGGCGGCGGCTTTGGAGGTGGCAGCGGCTTTGGAGGCGGCAGTGGCTTCGGAGGCGGCGGTTTTGGAGGTGGCGGCTTTGGTGGAGGCCGCTTAGGAGGTGGCGGTGGCTTTGGAGGTTTTGGGGGTCCTGGTGGCTTTGGGCCTGGAGGATTCCCTGGTGGAGGCATCCACGAAGTCTCCATCAACCAGAGCCTCCTGCAGCCTCTCAATGTGAAAATTGATCCTGAAATCCAGAACGTGAAGTCGCAGGAGCGGGAGCAGATCAAAACTCTCAACAACAAATTTGCCACCTTCATTGACAAGGTGAGTCATGAGAAGCTGGCTCCGTCTGATGCTCAGGATGCCCTACTTTCAGTGCTAATTGAAAAGCAAATGACAGAGATTTCTTTTAGGAGCGATCGGTGTAGTCATATGAGCCTGGGTTACTGGCAATATCCCAAGGGGAAAGGTGCTGGCTTCATGGGCTACACCTTCCATAACCATCTGCAGTTAGGAATTATTTGTGCCCTTGGCTTTATTGTTTTTGCCTAAATAAATAATATTTATGAAAAATTCTGAAAATCCTAGAACAAGTGATATAGACAAATAGTTCAGGCTATGTGATGGCAAGTTCTAGAAGGGATTGGTAAGGCATCTACTGTGATCGTCCTTCCTTCCCTAGAAGTTATTACTCTATAAAATTCTAGGAAGCTGAACCTGACATATCTGCTTGGAGATAAATGAAATTCTTACCTTGAAGAGAAGCATTCTCAGTTTTGTGACCCATAAAGTCTTTATTGGTGTCACTTTGGAGTTTTATAGGGTTTTCTTCTATTTCAGGGCAGTTGAACCTGTCTCAGGAATTTACAAGTCTCTTAAAAACCAGGCTGAGGAGCCCTGCCTTCCAGTGCATTTGTTTTTCACACTTAGGAGCAGTGCCAGCGGATGCCTGCTTTTGGTTTTCCCCAGAATTTATGGGACCTTTGCTGGAAATTCAACTAGGATGAGGGAGGGAAATGGCCTGGAGTCTTGGGAGCAGCTGCAAACCAAATAGTGGGTGGTGAAGCAGAAAAAAGAGTTCCGTGCAGGAGAGTGCTGGATGCAACAGTTAGGAGTCTGTAGGACTTTCCCCCTGTGGAGGCAGGGAGCTCAGAAACTCTGCTGGGCATTACCCGCCATGCAGCTGAGGAGGATGAAGCTGCATAGTCTTCTCCATATCCTGAAGCAGGGCAATCCGGAGCTCATGTACTCTCCTTCTGGTCACTGCAGGTGCGGTTCCTGGAGCAGCAGAACCAAGTATTGCAGACCAAATGGGATCTGCTGCAGCAAATAGATGTCCGCACCCGTTCCACCAACCTGGACCCCATCTTTCAAGCATATATCGGCCAGCTGAAGAAATATGTGGATTCGCTCTCTGCAGAAAGAACAACACAAGATTTAGAGCTGAACAACATGCAGGATCTCGTTGAGGAATTTAAGAAGAAGTAGGTGGCAGAGTAAACCCTGAGTGGAGATAAATATTAACCTGAACCATCTAACCATTCCTCCAGCAAAAGCTACTCATCTCCCAATTGCATTTGTGATGATAAAGGGGAGAGGCATCTGAATGTTTGTCATTTTTTTGTGAGGAAGACATTTAGGATATTAGGGATCTTTTTTTTTTTTTTGCATGTTTGAGAGTTAATTTATAGAAAACGGTCCTCATTTGGGATATCATAGTTTCAATGTAGACAGTTAAAGAGTGCTTAATATGCCAAGAGAATAGGGTATTTCTGGTGAATCCACCAGAAAAAAGAAAAGAAAAAAAGTAAACATAGAACTAATCTAACAGCTGTGTCTTTTGGGTTCCGACAGGTATGAGGATGAAATCAACAAGCGCACAGCTGCTGAGAATGATTTCGTGACTCTTAAAAAGGTGAGCAAGAAAATGTCATGGCTCGGGTGGGAATTAGGCTGCTTCAGAAATCCATTGTGTCCAAGCAGACAGGCTAGAGAACAACTCTGAGTGAAAAGAGCGAAAAGAGC